GGGGGGGGGGGGGGGGGACTCTTGGTCGAAGATGAGGGCAGCAATGTAAAGGAAATGAAGTTAGTGAACTGAGTGGGGTCAACTGAGCAGGAAAAGACAAACCCGCTGCAGAGGAACTCGTGCTGGTGGTGTATTCCTGCGGGAACTGTCACCATGAGGACAGACAGGTACATGAATGGATATTTGCATACTGTAGAGTAGAGGCTGATGACTGACTATTCAAATATACTGGACTGATTTGAAGTGGTTATGAATGTATATTGTGAATGCGTTCATCATCGGCCTAACTTAAGGGAAATTGTGGCTTATTTGTGCAGATGAGAGGTGTGAAAGTGTCTCCAAAGTTCTCTATTTTCCAGAAATATTCCACATAAAATTGGATCCTTTTGAAAAATATTTGATTAGTTCGGTCAAATGTGTCAGATTAAATGCTTTCTGGAGTTAAAATGGGGGCCTAAATCGATGAGCACACTTTGTCCACCACTAATTTGCGGACGTTTAGAAGTGTGAGAACATACAGTGACAGGTAGACAATGGGTTTGCTTTGTTGCACTGATGTTTGTGGTGTGCTTTTGAAGTTATCACATCAGTTGACCCACACGCCCAATATTTGAAGTGTTGTGAACAAAAGTGAATCCCAACACTAACTATTGAAACACCTGAAAACAAAGGAAAAAAACACATCTTTTACACTTTTTTCCCCCTTCAATTTTCTCAACCAAAATGCTTTGTAAATCAGATTTACGACGCTCTTTCTTTCTCTGCTTTTCCCTTATTTCATGGTTCAGTGGCCTCACACGGCAGGCAAGGGGAGGTTTTACTCTCTGCTCATTGGTCGCGGCTTTCCCATCTCAGCAACATTTCCATTCATGCACCCGGCGCTCCTTTTCAGCCCCTTTCAAAATAACTCACTGTCATCATCATTGGAAAAACGGCTCTGCCTGGACGGGACTAATTATTTAAACTCGGCGGAGGAGTGATTAGATCGAAGAAAAAAAAAAAGAAAGAAAAAAAGATTAAACGACAGACAGAGAAACGACAGGTGAGTGAGAAAAACAACGCAGACTGATTTGGCGTTCGCTGAAGTCCTTGCTCAGGCGGACTGCGGCGAAGGTGTGTGCATGCAGGAGGACAATAAATCATTTCCACTTATTTCATTGCTTTCATTGATGCGCGGTCGCTCTGCAAAAAGCTGCAGATTTGCGCGTCAATCGGTCAGAAAGCAGCTGATGTTTGCATCAATCTGCGCTGCCGTTTGTGTCATCAGATGTGTTGTTAAGCTTCTTCAATGTCTGAGTTAAAATATGAGTTTTGCAGTCGAAATATGCTGGACTTTTTGCCAGCTCACTTATTCTCACTTATTCTCACTTTGGGGGAGTCTGTAGTCTGTGTAAAGGGGGGAGGTGGGGNNGGGGGGGGGGGGGGGGGGTGGAATGCGTATTAGCTGAAAATCAGTTGGCTCTCGTTTATGATGGATAACAGCAAGGTAAGATGCTTAAAATGTAACACTAGAGGGGTCCCGGCCCACGGGGCTGTCTCGGAGGGAGGTTCACGCCGTTATTCACCAGTCCTCCTCCGCCTAATTGGCTGCAGATGCAGTATCCTATGCTCCTTTTACCGCGGAGAAATTGGATGCATTTGGGGAACTTTATGAGGCGAGCCGTGCGTTTGCCTGCAGGAGCCGAGAAGACAAAAAAAAAAAAAACATTGGGTCGCATACAAGTATTTAAACCGTGCCACGTTCATATATAAGCCCTCCTCCATTGGCTAATTTATCATGGGGCAGGAATTCTTTAAAAACAACACAAAAAACAACTTCAGCACAAACGTGAAATTGCGCAGTAATAAAGGAGAAATTTCAGTGCTGTTATAGGAAGGTATAAATCTCCTATGCCTTTTTTATTGTTTCATTTTCTTTTTTGTTGGAATTGTACCTGTCAGGTACTGCCTTAAAATCACAAGGCCCCATGATCCTGCACCCACCACTAATTATGCTAAAATGCAGAGTCGGTTAAAAGGTTCCTGATTGTATATACATCCTAATCCTGGCGGGTCAGGGCACGCATGCTACTGAACAGGAGAATGGTGTCCCAATGGCCCTGTTAAGATATGTCAAACTTTAACGGTGCGTTTTGGATGCCAATATAGAGGTCCATATACGTTCATTTGCTTCATCTCACAGTCTATATAACAGCCATTTGTGATGGTATGTGCCACTGCCTTCCTAATAATTGCGCAGGGAGGGAAGGGCTAAAGACAACGTCCTCTAAGTGCCCTTTCACCCTAGACTTTGTAAGCTGCACTTATTAAAGCGAAAAGTGTTTCAATATGTGGTAAGCTTTAGGGGGGAAAACGTGATGGGGGTTGGGATGAGGCCCTCTTCTTCCTTCTGCCCAGCTCCTATTGGGCCACTTGGAGTAATTCATCCATGTTACCAGTAGGTTAGTGGTGTAATTTCCATCTGTTGGTGTTGTAATGTACGGACAGTATAATCAAAACCTACCTGTATCTAATACTACTGACCGCTCTTGAGAAAAAAAATAAATAAATTGAGGTCTCTATGAAGGAATCAAAGGATCATGTGTGCAGTCACAGGGGGCCATTAAGCAAATTTGAATTTGCCTTTATTTTGGTGGAAGTGGTAACCCATGTGTGCTCTGTGTGGAAGTTCACAAAACCAGCGGTACTTTGGGAGTGTTTGCAGTTCAGCACGTAGCTGTCATGTCAAGTGTAAGGGGTGGCTTGGTGTCAACCAAGAAGTGAGGGATTTTTTTATAGCAAAATGTCAGATACTTGTGAAAATAATACGAAAAGCATCGCGCTGAAAACGAAATAATAATCATTTGTATTAATTATTTATGTATTAATAACATTTTTTCCATTTTCTCAGGGCCCTTTGGACACTGAGCACCCTTGGGCCTGTCTGTCAAGTAGACATGTTTCAAACTGTCCCTGACACGTCGTCTTACGTCAAGGTAAGACACCACCGTCTCTTCGAGCAGGTAATGTTGGAGGGACAAACTGGGGTCCTTTCATTTTTTACTTGGGATGTGATGTTGTCATACTACATACATATTTCTAAAATGCAAAAAAATCAATCAGTAGCTTTATTTATTTACATTAGGAATAAGCCGAATTGCATGTGCACAGTTCATTTTCTGTTGGTTTTATATGAGTAGAATTTAAAAATATATATATTTTTAAACATTATAAGCTCAACACCTGTAGCTTTACACTTTGTCCTCAAGCCAAAAAACTCTGCTGCTATGGCTCATTATCATGTTTGACGTCATGAATCCCTCTCTCTCTCTCTCTGTCCCCCAGTCCTGAGAATGTAAATAAAGCAAACAGCGCACATCTGGTTTTCACATAAAAAAAAACACGGCATCGCGTCTCGCAGCGTGAATACCTGCAACTGCTACACATCTGAGGCAGTCAAACCATTCAATGTTGGGATCTTTTTAACGTCTTAAAACCGCATGTGACCCCTTAGTGTCCACACCGTTCCAAGTTCAACGTGCACTTTTCCTCGCGGTGTCAATTAATTTGGGAGGCTGCATGACGTTTGCTCACATCCATCATAATAATCTGCTGAGGGGTGACTGCTCGGATTGTGCCTCATTAAAACGGGCCATTGTGCAGAGGCGAGCTATGGTAATATCTTCATAATCAAGGTATTTTTCCAAGGGCGACTTGTTAATGTTTTGAAGACTTATTTCCCCTTTGAATAAGGGCTCTTTTCATCCAGCCACGGCGTTTGTGCCGCTGCAAGGAGACTCGGCGTTTCAGGGCCACAGAACAATTCCTGATTTGTTGTCAAAGGCTTGAATAGCGGGGAATGTTTCAGGGGGGAAAAATGCGTTCAGATGAGTATTTCTGCTAAAAAACAAAAAAAAAGACAGCAGACCAATGAGGGACAAAGGTTAAGCATGGAAGGTGATTTTTAGAGTTAACGTTTAAGTTTTACACTGCTTGCATCTTAATGTGGAAATGCAAGATAGATCATTTCTGTTTGTTCTGATTCCATTAATTTTATTTTTCTATCCTGCCCGGATTCAGGGTTAGCGTGTGTTTAATGCGTGCAAGTGCTTCTCTCACATTCAGGGAGATATTGGTCAGAATGTGGCACGCCTCAATCCAAAAATTTAAAGAAATATTCCTCATTCGAGCGAATCCACGGCCCAGCATTTGGTTTTGTTTGGTTAAGGCCAGGCGAGACTGGAACTCTCCAATAAAAATAAATCTCAAATTAATTATGGCCTAGAGCGAGGGCCCAGACAGTTCGTGCTTATATGTGCTGCAGACTCCACTTTTTGCTCTCAGTATTTTGACTCGGGCTGTCTTCTAGCACGAAAGGAGGAATGATTTGAATACAAGTCTGCAGTCTGATAAACAGCAAACTCACCAGGCTCCTATTGACTGGGACTATTTCTTTTGTTGCAATAACCCTCTGTGAAAAAACTCATGATGTGTTACATGCATTGCTTACACTATAAAAAACACTTTTTTTTATACAAAGCACAAGAACAGAGAAGAGGTCATTTGTTGGGGACAGTTCCATGTGAATGTTTTAAGAAAACTTTGCCTTTATCAAGTGCCAGCACCCTGATAATGAGGCAGAATCAACTCAACCCACTGTTAACAAAAATGTGCTTGATTAAAGAGACCTCTTTACGTTTATTTCCTCCTTTATATTTCCTCTTTGACAGAATGCTTTCACTGGTTAGGCCTACATGCCGAATAAAAATCTTAATGCTCACTTTATCTCGTGTGAGACTTCCATTCCAAATTCCATACACTAAATCTTAGTAGATCTTCATATAAGCTAAAAAAGTAAGGATGTGTCTAACAATTGAAAGACTGCTGAACATAAGTCTGCATAGTGTCCGCCCACCTCTGGCTGGTTGCCCCGGCGGAGAGACAGAGGAGCTACTGGCTCGTGGTGTAAGGAAGAAATGTCTGGCTGTCTAGTTCCAGCGTCAAGCCAGATGTTCTGTGGTTCACTGTGTAAACCAACTTGCATCTGTTTATTGGCCTTCCAAAATGTTTGTTACCACTGTATTCATTATGGTCTTGGTAGGTCCTGGACCCCCAGTCTTCCTAATAAGCTCTATGACTGGGATGTGGCAGGTATTGTATTACAGGAGAGGGAATGATTTTGTATGAGGCAGGTTGTTGGCGAGATGTTAGAAAATCTGACTTCTGGGGGAGTCAGAAAAGCATCCTGTAAAGTTTCATATCTCTGTATTTTAATTATTTACACATTGTAAACGAATTGTTGACTCTGCAGTGGGGTGGAGGCTAAGCTTGCTTTTTTTATTAATGGAAACTGATGGGATAATTGCCCAGGAGCACAGCAGTATACAACTAAAAGAATGGGGTATTCAAAGAGACGTGTTTCTATCACTGGTCATAAAGTCCAGTATGGTGAATCACCATCTGGAGGTCACATCTTAACCACTTGTTTACTTTGCCACTTTATCACCAGTCTTCCTACAATAAAATGCACATTAAAACGTGAGACAGGGGAATGTATATTAAAATAAAAAAGAAACCAAAGCAGTCACTGAAGAGTTAAACAAGGTGTCTCCCTTAATTACACGAGTCTGACTGGCCTCAGGCAGGAGAAGCCTTGACCCTTAGCAGGATCCAGATGTGGTGGTCCCAAGGGTGGGGGCCCTCAGCCCCACCAGACCCCCAAGTCAAGAGCAGACAGGCCGGCCCTGCTCGTTGCTGCGGCTCAGTCTCTGTTTGGCTGCTGAGGCCGTTCCCCGAGGCAGAACCCCAACACTGCAAAAAATAGACCGTAATATCCCCGGTAAACTAAATCGCATTATATTTTTAGACATTGTAAAACGTGGTGGTGTAATGAGTTATTCACTTCTGTCCAAAGTACACCTTTTCCTATCCAATGTGATTTTCTTGATACCAGTTGAAGGATTGGTAGAATGAATTAAGGTATAGGCTTTTAAGGCTTGTTAAAAACAACAAAACATTAAACAATTAAGAGTTGTAGGCTACACGTGTGGATTTCATTTTAAGTTTATGAATCTGAGTTATTGTTAGTTTTACATGTGTGCTATTTGTCTTCACACAAAAAAAGCAACACTGAAATGCTGAATTGTGCAATGCATTTACAAAATTGACGTTTCTTGCAGTGTTTTTGGTCTGGTCACGTTCAGAGCTGGCTCCATGTCTAGCATCTGCACTAAAATTATGCTTGAATTGATGAGGGCAATTTCATAGGGCAGACGAAAAAAAAAAAAAAACTATGTAGGGGGTGGGGAATAGAGGGTTTCTTTTTTTTTTAACTAAGAAAGAAACCCTTGAATAGCAAAAGCAAACTCAATAATATTTATTACAATAATCTACATTTGTGCCCCCTTTTCAAGTGCACTTTTGTCGACGCAGGCTGCATTTCACCCATTCAGTCCTGTGCTGAACAGCAGACGCACACGTGTAGAGCAGACCCTCAGACTATAGTGCGGTTAAGACTGAATGCTTGGATTTTATTAATGGTGTCTCAAGCAAACTTCACAGAAGCTTCATACAGAGCTGTAACAAAAAAGACAAGGTTGCAACAACCCCTGCCATAGGTGTTAAGGTTTCTCCCCTTCTTTTGATTTAGAGCTCCATCAGCAGTGAGCCTGAGAGAAACATCTGTCCACGTTCAAAGATAAACTTTATTTAACGTATCACAGTGAAATATAGTATAAAACAGGCTGATTTACAGAGGGATGGAGGCATGGCCAGATGCACGTCTGTGAATCAGTGTAGGCGTGAACCAAAAGCGCTCTAAAACATGGGATCACATAACTTAAGAGTGTCCTGCGATAGTAAACCTGAATTCCGAAAACCTCCGTTAAATGTGTGCAGAAATAATTCATAACTCGGGCAAATAGTAAACCCTTCCACACCGTATGTGACATTACTGGGAAATCAAAACACACAACCCTATTCTACAGCAGGCTACACAGCAATGGCTGTGCACAACGCAGGCAGTCATCCTGTGTAAATATTTCCGAGCAGAAAAACATAACAGCAGAGCGAACACTCAATTGTTTTCCCTGCTTATCTCTCTGGGACAGTATCCTGCTTTTTTGAAGGCAGGGCTTTCGGTGACACACAGCTTCCTTCTCAACCTTCTCAACAGTGGTGACTTCACTTCCCAAATTTAGAGGAAAGAAAAAACTCAATCCGGTAAAAGTGTCTTTCTCTCCGCCACATACCGGGGGCTGGAATTAATTCAGGAGCGTGTCATGTTTGGGATATTGTCGGGGTCCGCTGAAAATTGCGCAAAATGGACGGAACTATTAAGGTAAGGGTGGAGAACGGGGTGTATGAGTTTGTGGGAGACTGCTTTTTCGGAGTTGCGCCTCCTTTTTTAAGCAATGGGTTGAAATGCCCCTCTGTGTCGGTCTGTGAGCTGGGACCTCCAATCTGACGACGATGAGCGGCTTTTTTCTCTCGGTTTGAAAGGGGTAACGAGATTTTCTTCTTTTTCCTCTTTCCTTGAAAGTATCCACTTTCCTTTTTCAATAAGCTGCCTGGTTGTGAGGATACGCTGCGGTGTGGATTCAAGGCTAAATCAGAATCACGCTTTGGATTTCTGGGGACCAAGCGCACAATTACGCACGTCTGGAAAGGCTAAAGGAGTGGCTATTTGTTTCAGACAACGCACTGTAGACTGTACTTTCATATAGGTATAAGTAATCCACGGGTTCAACGATTTGGTTTTGTCTGGGCAGCGGTATTGAGCAATAGCCATGACTGGATGTACCGCTGGATACGATGTGTCGAGCTGCGCAACAGCGGTGTGGCACATCGCCCGGCTCGGTCCGAAGATCTTGTCGTGGGTCAAAAAAAACTGTGATGGTTTGGTATTTACACAAGAAAGAATCTTTCTCTCTTTTTTGCTGTTGATTTTTTTTGTAATGCCTCTTCCTCCTTCGCACTGAGAGTTTTGTCAAAGTTTAAGGAAAGCTGTCATTTGGTAACTTCATGCGGTAACTGCTCAGTTTGCGACACGTAAAACCACAGGGCTTCACAATGATACCTTGGCTTGCTCCTTATATAGTTACACAACTATTTTGAAATGGTATGTTGGTAGTTTAGAGCGCTGGTCTACATTAACATTGGCTACTGGCCCCCGACAGTCAAATTCCAGATGCATTATGGCTGCAGCCACCAGATGTTGAATGGCAAGTCCCGATTAGTTCACCCTGCGATGCGTTCAGTCTGTGTCCTCCGGTTAACAAGTGTAAGCTCAGAAGAATGCAGCATTTTCATTTACTGTTATTGTTGCTAAAAAGCAGTGCGACTTGTTTTCTTTTTAGAAGATTAAAGTAGCGGCTTTGTGGCGGCTGGGTGTGGTGTGAGTTTTGGAAGAGTGTAAACGCTGGCCAGACAAAAATGTCAGGCTGCATATAGTCACTTAAATCCCGTCATTCACCGCTCACAGCACTGTGATTGTTTCATTATGTATCGGGGAGGAATGCCATGCGGCGCGGAGGACGTGAACGTCTCAGCCTGGATGTTTGTAACGCAGCAAGAAGTTGTGACAATTAATGTAATCATAATTGAATCCTCGGGTATAAATGACTGGCTGCTAGCTGCATTCATGCCCGCTAAAAGAGAGGAAGGGCTCTCTAGCCATGAGAGCTTCCTGTTCTACACAATCTTTTCCTGACAGGTTTCCTCTTCCTCCTTAAACAAAAGGCAGGAATGCCCCCCCAACCCCCCCACCGGGTGGCCTCCTGCGAGATGGCTGTGTGTGAACGCCAAACAATCACACGTGCAGTCTGGTGGATGTGGAGCTATTGCATATATCCAGCCGCTCCAGACGCGTCGTGACGCATTTTTTAAGAGATAGACTTGGCTGATGTAAACAGAACAGAGGTGGCTCCCAGCAGGTGTCACACTCACACAATGCTCATAATGGGCCGACAGTTTAACAGCTGAGCGATGATTTATTTCATGTTTTCCCCCTTTGTCTTTAGGACTGTATGGACGTACACTGCAAAAATAGAGTTCAGATTGTATCTATGTTTTTACAAAATTATTTTTAAGGAGTAAATATGTTGGTTTTTTTGGTAACCTGTGTGGAGTTTTCAGGGATTATGTTCAGGGATGGCACTTTATCTAAATTGTGTTAAGAGTGAAACCTTTGGAGAATTATCTGTGGACACTGTGAGACAGACAGAAAACTGAGTGTAACCGCTTGTAGCTGTCACTGTGTGTGTTCCCCGCAGATACTGGAAAGAAAACATAGGCACTGGTCTGGCACTGGTATGTCATCCTTTCAGCTTCTCTTCATGGTGTGCTCCTATTTTTAAAAACCCTCTGCAATCTCGATAGGCACACACCACTTGCCAATCATGGTTTCAATTGTGCAGGCTGATATGTCACTGTAAATATAACGTGCAACAGTCATAATAGTTGAGTTAGCCCTTATCGGGCTGTAATGAGACATTCCCTCACTCTTCTACACTTTATCATCCACAGACTAGCTGGTGTGCTCTGCTCAGATAGTGAGTCCTGCTGCCAGGGTTCAGACTATGATGGATCCACTGATGAAATCACTGGAAAATCTAATTCTGGCAAGAAATGCTCTAGAGAGGTTCAGCTTTTTTATTCGCCCATTACCCCAAAGAATAGCATTTTATTAAAGCAGTAGTACATACACAAGTTATATTTTAATTTGAAATGTGGCATAAGCCTGTTTCTTATTGTGTGAAGAAACATGTAATATAACACCTTAGATTTCCATGACATTTGAGGAGTAGTTTGACTTTACTTCATCACATTATTAAAAAGTATACATGTACCTTTTATCCCACGCTGTTCACAAAAGCTCATTAAAACTTTATTTTATTTGTGTACAAACAGCCAGTAGTGGATCTGTGGCATTGCAACAGAGGGCACTATAGTACAATTGCAAACTGAAACCCTTTTTCACTCCAAATGTTGCCATAACTTGAGAAAATAAATAGTGCAGAGTGAAGGCGTCACCTGTCTTTTTCTTTTATTGGATCAGTTTGAATGTAAAGTACTTGAAAATTAAAATGATTTCAACTTTAGTAATAGAAAAGCTCCAATAGCCACCAATCACTATCAAAATCAAGGATTCAAATATTGCATCAAGTACAGCGATGATCATGTTTTTTTGTTAATTAAATGCAATAAGTTGCCACACAATTTAGTCTTGCTAATGTTTATTTGAACCATGCAGCAATGCCTCTTTTCTTCACAAATATAAGTCAAAAGTATTTTTTATACAGTTATAACTGTCATAAAAGACATCCAGGTTGTGCTTATTGTAGTTAAAATATATTGTAGAACTCAATATCAAAATGGAGCTGGTGAGAGAGCATCCCGGCCATTTATAGTCACTGTAGCGTTGTGGTGTTTGCGTATATATACCACATACATATGAAAAACAGCTTCTAGCTTCTGAGAAACAGTCATTGTCAAAATAGGGACACGTGAAAACTTGCATGAAATGTCTTAGAATGATACTGAAGTTACGTGAGATCATGAGGATTAAGCTTTCATAAAAGTAACATTTTAGAGAATGCAAACAGCTTCATGCTGGAAATATTGATCAATGAATATAAAGTAGCCTTTTCCCCCTGAGGCAGATATGTGGCATTTTGGAATGAAATAATTCAGTCCTCAGGAATTAGACACGTCTCAGTCTAAGCTGTGCCATCAGATCCTATCAGATCCAGATGTGCATCAGACCCTAGCTTAAACCTCAGCAGAAGCATATGACTGTAATGATTTCACTTTATATTCTGACTTATTGTTTTCTGTATTTGTTTGTTTGATCGTTTACAACAATGATAGACAGAGCAATTATAACAAAAGGCTGACTCATCAAGTTATTGTTAAGCATTATTCACATTCTGTGCCATTCAACTGAGACGGTGCCATTGCCTGACTCTGATCACTGACAAACACTAAGCAGTGACATCTGTATGTTAAAATGTGACCCATCAAGTATACAATCCATGCTTTACTTCCAAGACATTACACAAGGAGCATGTTGGAAAGTGTAATATCTTGGCCAGCCGTGAGTTTCTGCGTTTGTTTTCTTTAATAAACTTACATTGCTCCAGCTGAGCCACAGTAGAGGGGTCAGTGTAGCCTTGACCCCCCTGCTTCTGTTGAGTCTTCAGCTGTGGAGGAAAAGCCCAACGCTCAGACAAGACAGACACATCAGGACATGACAGGATTTTTCAGTCAAGAAGATACTGACAATGAGCGAGAGAAGATTATTACACAACCAAGAATCCGGGAAATTTGGTTTTGAATATTTTAAATTGTCAGCTCATTTGAGTAGTCATTTATTTGTTTAAGTGTGAGCCAGTGGGTCATTACTGGTGTAACAGCTGTATGTATTGACTGATAATGTCAGTACACCAGTGCGGTGGCAGCGCCCAAGCTTACAACTCTGTCTTACTCCACTGTGGGCATGATTGAAGTCATCCTAACATCAACAGGAAGCTACAGTTGCTACGTTGGCTGTATACACAAACTACTTAGGATGCCAGACTGCGATATGACCAATAACTGCACATAATTGCTGTAAACAAAAATACACAAGAGATTGAACATCTGACATCACAAGCTTCTGGGAAGTGTCAAATGAGAAACTTGAGTTGTATCCGCTCTTGTTTGTGAGTGTATTCTTCTTATTCTTATTACACATTTCCCCATTTGAATCAGTTTGACATTTTGGGAAATATGCCTCTTTGCTTTCTTTCCTGGAGTTAGATGAGAAGATTGATAACACTTTCATATCTGTCTGTCAAATATGAAACTACAGCCAGGAAGAAGCAGTGAGAGACAGCTAGCCTGGCCCTGTCCAAAAGTTAAATAAATTGCTGCAGCACCTCTAAGACTTTAATTAACACATTATAACTTAATTGAAAAAGTGTAAAGTTAAGTGCCAAAGAGCTGGCTGTATTCTGTTACAGTTGGATAGATGATTTATGCCATGCTAAGCTAACCAGCTGCTGGCTGTATTAAACGGGCAGACTTAAAATTGGTATTGATCTGTTCATGTAACTCTCTACAAGAAAGCAAAAATATCTTCCAAAATATCAAAGTATTATAGTATGTTTAGCGCATATTGGTTGGAATGGCTGCTGTATATTATCGTCTACATGTAATTTGCTTACATACTAGCACTTGTAAAGCGAGTTGAGAAAGACATACCAAGTATTTGTTCCTTCCACCTACAGGAGGCGCTATCAGTGGTGAGTGAAGACCAGTCCTTATTTGAGCCTCCGTACGCTGCTGCTGCCCCTCTCCCCAAGACAGACATGACTGCATCTGGCACACAGGACTACGGCCAGACCCACAAAATCAACCCCTTACCCCCACAGCAGGAGTGGATCAACCAGCCAGTGCGGGTCAACGTCAAGAGAGAATATGAGCACATGAATGGATCCAGGTATGGCACGACAACTTCCTTTTTTAGCTTTAGTGTTCAGTGAGTTTATACTGTGTCCATCTTTATTAGACATTTTGTGTTCATCACTGGAGCTGCTGCTGTAAATGTTTTTTTTATTTTTTTTATTT